CGTTTACAGTGGATTTTGTTTAAACTTGGAACATACATAGGACCATGATGCATGTCATTTTGTTTTTCAGATTGGATTCAAAATGTCCAATTGACATATTTGACTGATTTTGTTTTAATGAATGTAGTTCTAATGCCATGTCTTTGACATGCTTTTGACAGATTATGTTTACAAAATTTTATTAATTCATTATACATGTATATCATGTAATAGGTATACAGATATTGGTTTGACGATCTGATTCAAAATGGCTAAAAAGTGGCCATTTTTGTGCTAAAGAATCATTGAAAATCAAGCATTTCTGGCATTCCGAAACCGGATCTTGGACGTTTATGGATGGATTTTGTTCAAACTCCGTACACACGTTAGACATTATTGATTCTAGACACATGTCATTTTATTTTTTCATACATGTATGCACACATCCATTCATTTAATTTTCTGATTCAAAATAGCCAAATCATCTTGCATATGTACACATGTACAGTATCTTTACAGATCTTGGTAGTGTGTAGATGGATTTCATGCAAGCTTGATACATTAAATTGAATATTATGGGACATTGCATTTAAAAAAATTTTTTTAGATCTGATTTCAAATTGCCAACTGGCAGTCATTTCGTTAGAATGAATGCTGTTCCAGAGCCATATCCCCGACATGCTTTGAATGCTGTTCCAGAGCCATATCCCGACATGCTTTGAATGCTGTTCCAGAGCCATATCCCGACATGCTTTGAATGCTGTTCCAGATCCATATCCCGACATGCTTTGAATGCTGTTCCAGAGCCATATCCCGACATGCTTTGAATGCTGTTCCAGAGCCATATCCAGACATGCTTTGAATGCTGTTCCAGAGCCATATCCCGACATGCTTTGAATGCTGTTCCAGAGCCATATCCCGACATGCTTTGAATGCTGTTCCAGAGCCATATCCCGACATGCTTTGAATGCTGTTCCAGAGCCATATCCCGACATGCTTTGAATGCTGTTCCAGAGCCATATCCCGACATGCTTTGAATGCTGTTCCAGAGCCATATCCCGACATGCTTTGAATGCTGTTCCAGAGCCATATCCCGACATGCTTTGAATGCTGTTCCAGAGCCATATCCCGACATGCTTTGAATGCTGTTCCAGAGCCATATCCCGACATGCTTTGAATGCTGTTCCAGAGCCATATCCCGACATGCTTTGAATGCTGTTCCAGAGCCATATCCCGACATGCTTTGAATGCTGTTCCAGAGCCATATCCCCGACATGCTTTGAATGCTGTTCCAGAGCCATATCCCGACATGCTTTGAATGCTGTTCCAGAGCCATATCCCGACATGCTTTGAATGCTGTTCCAGAGCCATATCCCGACATGCTTTGAATGCTGTTCCAGAGCCATATCCCCGACATGCTTTGAATGCTGTTCCAGAGCCATATCCCCGACATGCTTTGAATGCTGTTCCAGAGCCATATCCCGACATGCTTTGAATGCTGTTCCAGAGCCATATCCCGACATGCTTTGACCAATCTTGTTCAAACTTTATTCATACATCATGTCACGCATATCCACATTAATTTGTTTGACAGTCCAATTCAAGTTGGTAGAATGGTGGCCATTTTAATGTTTAATTTTTCCCAACCCAGATCTTGGTTATACATAGACAGCTATTTTACATTTTGGTATGAACAATCTATATACATGTGTATATTGGGACCATAATGTTTTTTCAGGTCTGATACATGTATCTCTGACAATACATTGACTGATCACACTCAAACTGTGTACAGCTACGTAATGTCAGTTGTTCCATATTCTGATTCAAGATGGCTGATTCGATTCAGTTTTGTCACTATTGAACTAACTGGGAATAAAATCTAAATTTTACTGTGTTTTAAAAAACTATACTTTGACAAGATGCATGTATTATGCATATACAATGCACATGTATTACTAAAGTTTCTCACTTTCAAGTTGCTGTCTCCTTCTATGACCATCACAGTAATTATGACATTATTTATTCATTCAAGATTACAGCAGGGACAGTTAGGGTATTACCCTCGTGTACCGTAGTTTTTAAACTCCCTTTTAAATTTGCAAATCTTGTGGGGTTCTTAACAATTTTATCTCAAGACGATGCGATAAGCATACTGTCTGTCATTTTTTTTAAATCCGTACTTTTCACACTTGTTCTGGGGGTTGTACAAAATATTGTATGAAATAATTGTATGCGTATGAAAGACATGTTCATTTTCATAATGTACTTTTCATACCTGTGAGGACTACCCCTCCAACATAAATCCTTACACTAATACTTTGTTCACAATCTGCAGATTAACTGAGAAAGTTTGTACTCATGAAAGGTACATGTATTCCTGATGTATGCCAAGCTATCAATAAGTGTCTAGCTTATTTGAGTAGTCGCTGTAATTGCATATGCATGAACTGTGTCAACACTGTCATCTCAATTTATTCATGTCTAGTCATATTGAACAATTACCTCACCTGCTGTTTTCATGAAATTCATCCCATGAACATCTATAATATACACCTCTGAATTAGCAGTCTTTGTATTGATTCACTTTAATTTGTCCTTGAAATTAGAAATTGAATGAGTTTAGTTTCCTGAATGTTATCAGAACTAAGAACTGTGCATGCGATGTAGATTCTAGTGCTGAGATTCTGCTTTCTTTACCGCATACCTTGACTGATAAGCCCTGATTGGAAGTAGTATTGAAACAGACTTATGGATTGACCCTTGTGTGTCTGTAGTGTGTGTTAGTGGTCCCACCTGCATCTTGGACATGTCTGAACCAATTACATTCAAACTTGACATATACCTTATTTTCGCAAGGAATTGAAAGGCCAGATAGCGCATTTATATTTTCACATAACGATTCAGTGTCACCATTTCTCATACCAGTACTATGGGTACCATAGGCTGTGAATTTGTGATTTGTTCATATTGGTCAAATTGACTGCCATTTTTTCTAAAATCTTAAAATTTGCAGTCTGCAAATGTGTCCAAAAACAGTTTCCGATATAGACTAGGTGATTTCATCAAACATAAATGGCCACCTGGAGTTCAAATTCAAAATGGCTGACTGTGTGCTGTTTAGTTTACTTTTGAACAGCATTGACTGTGTCATGAGATTGCCTGCTGGTGTGATTTTTTCCCAATCATTTTGGCTATCCGTGGATACATTTATCAGACAATGTGTTAAATTTTTTATAAGGCAAAGTATAATATTTATAACAGCATCCGGATTACTTTCGGAAATTCTCTTGCATTTTGGAAAGTTTTAAATTAACCTACAAGTACAAATAAATAATCAAAAGTTGTGAAAATTAAAACTTTCTGAAACACTGTAGAATTGCTGAAAGTAGTCTGGATGCTGTTTTATATATGGATGTCAAATGCACAACTCGGTGTGCTTTTGAATTTTGTCCATTGTATATGTTGCTGTGTGGAACCCATTACAAACATTGACATAGCACTTTAATAATGATTGCTAGTCAATTTAAGAAAGATGAGTACCATACCTCATCTATAGATTTGCCTTCAGAGATGATTTCTCATTTCCTGTATAATTGGTAATATTTTGCTATCCACTAAATGGTGTATAGTATTTCTCTTAAATGAAAGCTTGTCACAACCATCTGGACAAATTAGCCTTAGAAAATAAAAGGTCAATGTCATTTTCCCTCCACACTCATCATGAAACTAGAAATCAAAGGTCGAAGCACTCAACACTCATCCCGGTATCTCTTTAGGCTATATCGGTTTCTACGAATACAGTGATTGTCATTTCAGCAGCGCTTCATTACAAAAGTTGAGCAAGGCAATCAGGAAAGGTACATTAACCCCTTCGGGAAGCCAGCCGAAAATCTCCCTAATATTACTCTTACAGAACATAATCAACAGACTGCGATAAAAAAAGATTACATTCGTTAACAAAGTGCAGATAAGATGCATTGTATACCATAACCCAGATGAAGAACAGATTTAATGTTCTCATTCTTAGAAAAAATGATTAGTTCACGAGTAGTCGATTTAATATCTTTTGATCTAAGTACTTGTTTGATCTCAATAAATTTAGTTTGATATCCTTTACTCATGAGACTTTAATTAAAGTATTTCAATTATTATATATGGGGAGAGAGGGGGGGGCTTCTTGTTGCACTCACTTGTGTGTTAGATTTTTTAGATACATCCATGTGCAATATATTTATTATCTAACACTGCAGTTTTACTGGTACTTGGGATAGAACTTTGTTTAGATCAAAATGAATG